GAGCAAATCTTGTGCACTTGTCGCGCACAAGCAAGGCAACGCTTCAAACTTTGGAGAGATCTACGGTATCACTGAAAAAGGTGTCGATCGTAAGGCCGCTGAACCTATTGAAATTTACGTCAAACGCTGGCTTCCTGAAGGCTGACTACTTCTCATGAATTAAGTACCTGCACTCCAACTGGCATCGCTAAGGACCAAAACTGGTCTATGCGTGGTTCACGAGCCTACCAGACTAACCTAACCTAACCTATTTACGCATGTAAATTTTGATACCTGGTATTGGGTCCACTATTCTATGCTGCATATATATACATATGTTTGTGCTTCATAACCTTATCCGACGAACGGTGTTGTATTCATACATATAAAATCTCTACCAGGAAAGTCCTTTGTAAAAAATACGCCCACCACTCTTAACCGTTATTAAAAGTCAGCAGTCATTCATTTTTCATATCAGCTTATCTGCAATCACTCTCTTTCTGCGGCCTCCATTATTTTCTTTAAATGTTTGTTTGTTTTTAATTTCACCTCTCGGCTTTTAACGTGTGTCAATTGAAGTGTGCAAAATATTTTGCAACAACAACAATGGTACAAAGTGACACAAACTCGCATTCAAGTGGTGAGAATGCTTATGATAGCCTACAAATACACGAGCAAATCTGCATATTTAGCTTACTATTTGGTGGGGTAAGTGGGTAAGTCAAACTGTTGTGACGCTGTCGCATTGCTATCATCAATAAGGTCGCAAAGAGACAAACTGACAGGCATGCTGAGAAGAGATGCATAGATATATGTGTGTGTGTGTGTAGGTATGTATGTATGTGTGGCTTTCAAATTAAAGTTGACAATCAGCCATTGCTGCCGTCACAGTGCGACTTTTACAGTTACACCGTTATGATATTGTTGTGATTTTTATTATTATTTTTTCTGCATTGCTGAATTTTCATATTTGCAAACATAAGATGCATAGATACTTTTGAAATATGAACTCCTTTGCGCGCCAAAAAGAAGAAATAGCCACCACTCGCTTTTATTTCGCTTTCGTGTGGTGAGTTTATTAAAAAGTAAGCAGCAGGTAATATTTTGCTGTTATGTGCATATTTTGCTCATATATCTTGGCTCCTTATTTTTTACTTAAAAGCAGCTTGAAAGGAAATATCAGTCAGCAAATGGCATTGAAATTCGCATAGAGCAGCAGAGTGTGAGTAAAAAGCTAACAAATAAAGGGTGGCAACAATATTCTTGTATGTAACAGTGTGTGGAACGTGCACAGGTAAAAAATGAAAAATTGTATTTGCAACATTAATGCTGCAGTGAAGCGCATAAAGCGAGCTGCTTATTATGGAGCAGCAAAAAATACAAAAAAAAATTTTAAAAAAATAATAAAAAATAACTAAAAGAAAAATTGTATATTAAGATTAAAAAATATAAATATAAAGCAATATGAAAAAAAATTAAGGAAAAAAGTTGTTTGAAGCGCTGCAAAAAACATTAGCAGCAGTTTTGCAGTAAATCTAGCACTTATTTATGCCCGGTTTGATGACCCTCCTGCCCCCTTCGCACACGCACCACACGCCTCTTATGGCTTTGCTACTTAATTTTTATGCTAGACACACGGCAGCAGCCACACGCTATGCTTTTATTTATACATTTTGCTAATGTTGGCTAAGTATGCTGTGCGCGCTGCGGGCAACACGGGTCGTATGAGTAACCTAAGAAGTATGAAATACCCTACACTTAGCATTTATAAGCATGTCTGTTCATATACATACAGCAGTATACGTATGTATATATGTGTGTACTACACGCTTTGTGTTCACTTTTTGCTCTTGCACCAATATTTGTGGCAGGGCTAACGGCTGTCGTGCAGGTGTTTGAGCGCCGTCTTCTCTTCAAATATGCGCCAAACAAATCATTCTCCATTTTGCTTTGCGAATTTTTTTTGTCATGTTTTTTACATTTTTCGATAGGTTATATTTTTAAAAGTAACATACTAAAATTTCAAATCGATATCTTTAACAGTTATTGAGTTTCAGCCTTCTAAAATGCAGCCGTGCAGTTCAATAAGCTTAATCAGTTTATCTTTAAACGCGTTTTTCTCAAAACTACATTTTACAATGTTGCTTAAGTAATTACTTGGATGCAAATGATACGACCAATATTTTTTCTGTATATAGTTTTCCATACATTAACCTACCAGTTTTTTGATTTGCTCAAAAATTTATTTCTGGCAGGACAGAAATTACCAAAATTTTTGATAAACCCAATTTTTTTGAGAAAACACCGCAATTTAGTCATTTTTTCGACCGTTCACTGTACGAATAATATCTCTTTGTAGATAATATTTTTTTTAATTTCATTCACGGAGAACGTCGCAAAAAGGCAGAAATGGCGGACCGTTTTTATTATTTTATACTATTAGCTGTAAAACAAAGTAAAAATGGAATAACTTGGAAATCTTAGTTTAATTTAAATTTTTGAGTTATTCTCAATTTTAAATAAAAATATATTTTTTTAACATTTTTTATTTAATTTATTGTCATTAAAGAAAAGCGTTAATTTCCAATGTTTTTCGATGAAAAATTGCATTGCATTGTATACATAGATTCAGGCATGAAATATAATAAAAGTGATTTTTTGGTCCCAAATCAATAACTAAGTATTCAAATCAAAACAAAATAATTATAGTTACTATACTTAAAGCTTGTCTGCTAAAATTGACACACGCATACATTAAATTTTATTAAGAGGAGGTATATAAAAAGACTACTCCTCAAAAAGTGCGCATTGCACAACATTTATCATAAATAAACGCGGATGCATTGCCAGCTGCAATGAGTGACAGTCAAAAATTTCGGCCGAGAGGGGTTCCACGGCGCCCAGATCGCATTTCATTATCACACCATTTATTTTACACTTTTATATTTTGGTGGACGATTTTTTTTTTACTTTCTGAGCACAAGTGTAGTAAGTTCTCTCCCATTCTACCATAAATATACAACGTACGACTTTTCAATTTCATTTACACTTTTTTGTATTTTTGTTGCATCAAAATTTAAACTGCCGCACTTGGAAATGAAAAATGGTCACTCCAAATAAATAAAAGGGTGCTTGCGAGTGAAAGTCGTAACGGTGGTTGCCGTTATCTGAAGAAAATGGCAGAAAAAAAACATCAAAGTGCTTTGACATTTTGTGTGGCTGGCGGCAGGATTGAATAACGGTATGCGCGCTATAAGCTAGAAGGAAATTAAAGCATTAATTTTAAATAAAATTTAAAAACGTGTTTCTGTGTCTAAAAACACCTCTCATAATACATAGAACACCTCCTTTTCATCTGAATAAATAAAAAAATCATTTAAAATCCTAACTTAGTAGCCAAATGTCACTTTATTCTTTTTACGATCAGCTTCCTTTGCGTAAATTTTACTTCGAATTGTAGATTTTTTGTTGTATCTGCCATTGGCAACAGCTGCTCTAACATAAAAGCGTTAATGACAAGCTATTCATTACTTTTCCAGCCTTTTTCTACTTTTCTAAGTTCTCCCTCTTCTGTTTTGCTTCCCAAACCTCTGACAAAATCAAAAAATTTAATTTAGTAGATTTTTCTTTCTTTTGCGCTCAAACTGCTGTTGATGTGAGTAAAATCGCTTGCCAAAAATCGTCTAGTACTACTTGTAAATGCTGTTCCTTTTATCTATTATTCTGCTGTCACTTAACTGTCACTTAACTGTCAAACATATCTATAGCTTTTTTTTTGTGACCACAATATTATTATATTTCTACTCTCTTTTTAAATTATATAATATACTTTTTTTAAGCTAGAAATAATTCTAAATTAAATTATTTAACTCTCTAGTGCTCTCCCATGGAGGTCAATTCGACCCTTTTTGAGCAAATGTAAATGGGAGTTTAATGTTTTATAAACTTTAATTCAAGTTTGACATTTTTAATAGTTGACATAGTAAACAGTCAAACAATATCAATAGTGGGTCCAAGTTTTCACATATTAAAAAAGTGTCTTTTACAAAGATTTACAGGATTTTGTTAATTAAACTCCGTGTTATGAACTTGTGTTTAATGCTAGACACCGAATGGTCCAATAAACTCAAGGTTATCCCACACACTCTCCAATAAATTAAAATTTATCCCATAAACTAACAAATAAATATACTTCCTAATATCTTATTTTCCAATTGGATTTTAAATAAATAAATTTGAATTGTCAACTGTTAAACATTATCGACACCGTGACAAACAAAATTTTGTTACACAACTGTGTCGCTTTCCCATAAACCCCAAAAAAAATTGTGTTTAACATAAGTTAAAGAAACTCTTTTGTGTACTAAACTCAGCGTTTCTTAGAAGTGTTTAACGTTAAGCGATAATTGTTCAATGTATAAAGAGATCTTAATCTCGGTTTCCATCGATTTTGATCAGTCCGATTTGAAAAATTTGTTATGGGATTATAGCGCTATCTTAGCTAATAATTTGTGCCAAATTTCGTGAAAATACTTTGTCAAATAAAAAAAGTTTTCTATACAAGGACTTGAGTTTGATGGATCAGTTTGTATGGCATAGCTGCCACATATTTTTTTTCGATATAGAGTATATTTATAGGCGACTCATGCATATAATAATATATAATAAAGACACAACGAGCAGATAAAAAGGTCGAATGGTTTTTTCTATTTAAAATATCTTCATAAAGGCTGATGGAAACAATCAATATATTATTCATTAAAAAGTTAAATGTTTTTGCAGCAATTTTTTTTCAAATTTATAACTTCGTAATATTAGCGCCACCATGATATCCAAACTCATATAATAACAATATTTTATTGCGCTAAAATTGTGTTTTATTACACACTTTTATTGTATAAACAAACCCTCTTATCCCATTAGAATTACATAAAATCCCACTTAAATTCAACATATCCACAATTTTCGCACACCCACCAGCTATTCAACTATACTCACGCACTTCTCATCTTTCCTTCCAGTCACGTACATCTCTAGTCTCCAGTTCGGATGGTGGCATTTTGGCCGAAGGCGAAACCTCGAGCGAAACATCGCGCGGCACCGACGAATGCCCGCCCTGCGACTTGAGCCTGATGGAGCGTCTGCTGCTGACACATCCAGTATGGTTTCTAACCGGCATACAGCGCTCCGGTGCAGTGCATTTCCTACAAGGCAAGGAGGAGGGGGTAAGTAAAAATAAAAACAACACATAATCATATATCATATATCGTCAAACAAAGCAAAGCAAAGCTGAGCTTTAATATTGAAACCAAAAACCAAAAAATATGGAATCACAAACAATTTTTAATTAGCCAAATACTTTCGTGTCTGAGGGGAGTTCAAACAGTGCGCCGCTGACAAAAATCTGCAAAGAGTTGAAATACAAAAACAAAAAACAATACAAAAGTTTTTAAAAAGCATTGAAATAATGTCAAAGCATGCTGCTGCATTTGTCGTTAAAGCGTCGGTAAAGCCCACAAAAGCTTCCAACTGACGTTTTACACAAATAATTTCTGTGTGGTTGGCGAATTTTGTTGCAAATTTATTAGCAAACTGTCAGGCGAACAGAGGCAAATATTGCCGGCTGAAAGCACAAAAGCAAATTAGTTTATGCGGCTTTGTTGTGGGAAAATATTTTATGAACTTATTACAAAGCGGCGGCGATAAGCCCACACACAAAGGTAGTAGAAACATCGACAACGCCAATAACTACTGCAATATTTACCATAACAAAAAATATAATCGGCTGTCATTGGCAGGAAGTGCCACACAAGCTTTTGTCTCAAAGAGAATTTACGAATTTATAAAATTTGGTTCACAACTTATAGCCAGCCGTCTTCTATGCGCCACCATTCTACTAGCTATGTTAAGCATATCGAAATCTGATAATAAAGTTAAGCAATTTAATTCAATTAGTGAGAATATTGATACCTCGCTGAAGTGTTGTTATTCTATCTCTATTTGGTTATGCTACAATAGTTTTAGTGATTTATACTACTTTATATTTGAAAATACCAATTTTAGCGGTTTATACCAGTATATATTTCAAAATGTCAGCTGTAGTGCTTAATACCAGTTGAACTTGAAAATGCTAGTTTTAGTAAGATATGACACGTTTAATTTCTGAAAATGCCTTTTTTAATAGTTTATACCAATTATTTTATTTTATTATGTCAATTATTGTGGTTTATACCAGTTTAATATGTCAGTAGTTTTATATCAGCTTCTTCTATTAGATTGTGTTGGCTTCATGTTTTATATTAGTTTTTATATTTTATTGTGCAAGTATTTTATATATATACCAATTGTTTATATTTGATTATGACGATGTTTTTGGTTTATACTAATCGTTTTAATTTAAATATACCAGTTTTAGAGACTTATACGAATCTATGTTCAATTCATTATGAGTATGTACATATGTATATCTAAAAGTTTTTGCATTTCTTTTGAGAGTAAAAGTTGTTTAAATTTTTTTTTAACTGTGACAGTAGTAAGTTATTTTCATAAACTCATGTACTCAAGTTGAAGGTTAAGAGGGAAAAATTATAGTTTATAATTACAGCAATGAATTCAGTATAAATAATACCTATGGATGCCACAATTGATTTTATTTACCATTATTTCTCAAAATTTTTTTATTATATTTAATTATAGAGCTTAAGATAATTTATTGACACAATTTTTTACTCAGACTGTTAAAAATTAATGAGTGCACACAGCCAATATGTAAATCAAATATTAATTTGTAGCTTTGTTTTGGCAGAAAGTTTGCACGCAATTTGCAGAAATATTTGCACAAATTACAATCAATTAACAAAGCAAAAAAAATGACCAAATACCAGCCGAGAATGAGAAAACAATGTGTGAATGGATACGTGGATTAATTGTATACACAAAACATATACATTGATATCGAGGGATGTGAATATATTAAAGAGAATAAAGACCTGTATGAAAATTCTGAACTTGTGGAACACTGCTTTTGAGGTTAAAAGACGTTCACATTTAATACTGTCATCAATACTATATGTCTATAAAGTATTAACAAACATTAACGTTAAACAAAAGTTTCAATAAAAAATATTGTTAATAATTTATATGGCATATGAACATTCTAAAAGAATGGCATTTCTGCGGTAATACTCTCGATGAGTCTTAAAGTATACTTGTAATAGAAACTCTCAAATTGTAATGTGTAGATTTCAAAAGACACTCACACTTCTGATTTAATTTAAAAATAGTTAAGAAAATTTAATAAATTTTTACTTCGAACAATTATACCGAAAGTTAGAAATTTTATTTTCCGAAAATTGCTGGAAATTTGTCTTTTGAGAATTACAAAAAATATATTTTCAATTTTCTAATGGCAGGGAAGATGAAAATTATATTTCAATAATGAATTTATTAAAAATAAAAAATTAATACAATATTAATACAAATTAAGTAATGTAATTAAATAATGTAATTAATTAAATCAAGGTTTTTAAAACAATTAATTAATTAAATACTTCGCATTTAATTACTTAATTTTTTTTAAATACTTCTCATCTTTTAAATACTTCCCATTTAATTACTTAATTTTTTTACTACTAAATACTACCTAAAATAAAAAAAAAAATAAGAAAATATAATAAAAATTAAAAACATGTAATTTAAATGGTTTCAATTAATTATTTAACCTTTTCCTACTCTAATTGAAATTATTAAAAAATTCTAATATTTAAAAATGAATTATCTAATTTTTTTCCTACTTTAACCAAACAAGTAATTTAAAATAATTATTGCATTAGTTAAATTTTTTTAACAATTAATTGCTTAATTTGTTTTCTTTTTTATTAATTTATTATATTTTAATTTTTTTATTTCTAATTTTTGTTTTTATTTTATCTTTATACAAAGTTTATTCTTAACTGATTGCATCTATTAAAGTAATTTATTTATATATTATATTTTGAGTGAAAAGTCCTAAATATGTGTATCAATTTCAAATATTTTCTGCCAACAAAAATAAGACTTTTCTGCAAAGAAATACATATAGTTATTATACATATAACATACCTGCCGGCAGAGGTAATTGATATGGATGCTAATTGATTGCATACCACCATCGCAGCTATTACCTCACATACAAAGGTATTTGAAGGCAAGTCTGGCATTCCTCTTGAAACACACAAAAAACACGTTGGTAGTGAGTAAAATAGTAACCTATGTATGACGATATATCTTGCTTGCCCACACCCACACATATGTACTACATACATTCGTCAGCGAAAATTCATGTCCACATCAGCAGAAAAGCCGAAACAAAAGCTCGTTTTTCCTCATTGTTTGCAGACTTTTGTTGTTGTAACTTTGTTGTCAACAACAACAAACCGCAATAAGCAAACAACAACAACAACTGTAATTATCACTGTGGCAACACTGATTGCGCCTTTTGTCATTGTTTTGTCGTCCAATGGCTCAATGAAGCAAATGAATCCAATGTTACATACACACAAACAGAGGCATATTAATTTAAATGCATCAATGTATTGTTAACTATGCGTGGGGGGTGGCAGACTGTACGTCAGCGTCATGGCATGCCCATTACTTTTGTGGGCAGCGATTTAATTGTCGTGCCGATAGACAGGATATTTCATTAAGCACATGCTGGTTGGCATTCACTTGATTTTCATCAATGGAATGTTGTATATACATATGTATCGCTATTATTTATATACATATAATTTTTTTAGGGCACCGAGAAGTTTTTCATTATAAATGCTAAATTTATTTTTCAAATTCTTAAAGTGATTACTTTTAATCGAAAAAAAACGACAAAGTATTTTATTAACAAAAAAAATTATTTTAAATTCATTTTAACCGATAAGTGACGTTTCGGTTCTTAAGATAATATTTGTTATTATTAAAATTATTATAACTTTTTAAATTATTTATTTTCTTTTCAAAAATGCCTAAAATAGTTTAAATTTTTTAATATTACAATTATTATTATTACTTAAATAATGCATTTTCCTTATAAAATTGTTTAAATTATTTTTCACATCCTTAAGGTTTTGAATCAATTAACGGCTAAACATTTTTAACCAATAATAAAAAAACGTTAAGGTGATTTATTTTTCAACTGAACTTATATTTGAACTATTTTAACCGATAACTGATGTTTAAGAAAATATTTTTTATTATTGAAATTATTATTATTTTTGAAATATTTATTTTCAACTAACATTTTTCTAAAATTATTCGCTAAATTTTTATTTTTTAAATAATAATTTTCTTTTAAAAAATTATAAAAGTATTTCTCAAATACTTAAAGATATTAGTTTTGAATAGATAAATGTCTTGAAACGATAAATTATTTTGATCTTCAACGTTAACCACTAAGGCCAATTTAATCGATACAGAAAAATCGTTATCGATTAATAAAATAACTCGTTAAACAGCATAACTATTTTTCAAAATGAACTTAATCGGGTCAGATAAAATAGTTATCGATAAATAAAATGTATCGATATTTTATTTTTGTTCACAAAATGAACTTTAACGGTTGAGTTCCATTATCTAACATTAATTAAGTCATTATCTTTAAGCTAAATAAAGTGATCCATTGATTTGATTACTAATAAAAACTTATAACGATAATTTGTATCGTTGGCTAAAACAACGATAGATGAAATAAATAACGAAATATCGCTTTGGCCTATAACAAAATTGAATAAGTAAAGCATCTCGTCTATCTATCTACGTATGCATTTCAGTGAAAAAATTGTTCTTAAAATCAAGTAATAACTTATTTATCGATTCAAAACACACCACTAAAGGAACTTTATCATATCTAATATTAAAAATTCAACAATTAAATAATATGTTAAAGTATTAATTGAGTTCTAACAAAAATGTTGTGCTATTTCTTCTAATCCAAAGATTAAAATCTCACTTGCTTCAGACCCATAAAGAGAAAACTTTCATATACTTGTACGTATGATTTTTTATTGTTTTAGTAATACATGCAATTATATATAGATTTATCTTTCTGTTAATGCACTGTTTTGAATTCAACTAAGAACTAACATGAATCTGAAAAATGTTTCGTTATTTCTCAACTCTACCTAAAATTGTTATAAATAGTTATAACACATCGTATATTTGAAAGACTTTTCGTAGTCGTTTCTCAACCCTGTCT